ATATTTGGTTTGATTATATTCATTGGAATGCAACTTTTGTGTTAGTTGAGGCTAATAATAAAACAATGAGGCTTATATTTTCTATAATTTTTTCATTTCATATTTCTAATAATTCATTTGTACTGAATTTTACAAAAAAAATCTTGGTCAGTGGCAGGCTGGAAATTAAAAATAAAACAAACAGAACCCCAAGTCACTCAGTAGACAGTCTGAGAAACTTTGTTCTAGATTGAGCAGAGGTCAGAAAACTTTCTGTAAAGGGTCAGATAGTAAATATTACAGGTTTCTGGGGCACGCAGTTTCTGCCACACCACTCAACTCTGCTGTTATAGCCAGAACGATCACGGCTTTGTTCTAATACAACTATCACTTTCTTTACAAAAACAGGAACAGTGGTTTGCCGACCCCCAGTCTAGAGGATAGAGCTGAAGGGTTGCCGTATGAAAAGCGAAATCTGTATTTCGGTGCTTCTTCAGAGGAAACAGCTAGAATCCAATCGGCAAGTTTACATCAAATCAGCTTTTAGCTTATTATTTGGAAGACTTCTAGTAATTAGAAATAAAATAAATTGCCTTGCAATGCAGTGAACTCATCATGTCTGGATGCTTACAAACTGAGGCTGAGTGACCTATGAGCGATGCTCTCAGAGGTAAATCCTGTGGCGGACGAGAGGCTGGAGGAGATGGCAGAACATTCCTTCCAACTCAAAGATCCTACGGTTCTAGGATATTCCCATGCAATTATCTTCAATTCAAGACTGTAATACTCTCCAGCTAAGTGAATGCTGGAATAAGATGTAATTTTTCTCTCATTTGACCCTGCTGTTTGGAGCTGCAGAGAGGTGTCTAATTTGGTGGGAGTGACGGGGGCTTGTGTGAAAGGCGCAGTGGGTGGAGTGGAACAGAGAGCAGGCCCCTGGGCAGCCCTGCCGTTCCCCTGAAATGCTGACGGGCATCCAGGCCAGGAGAAGCTGCCTGCAAGGTGGCTATTAGTCATGGTTTCTGGGTTGCTTTCCACCTTTGGTTGTGATTTCAAAGAGTTTTATTAAAACTATAACTTTAACCAGAACCTTTTGAAGCCACTCTTTCTCTCTTGGGAAATCTTAGGGAAGAGTCTTGCGTGCCTACGTGCCCTTCTCTTTCCTCATTTAACAGACAGCCTTATTGGAGTCTTCAGTCTCTGACTTTAACTTTGAATAGAAGTCATACCACATAAACACTCACCATAATTGGGGGATTTTAAAGTCATCATGAAGCAAGGGTGAACTGTGTAGTTAATAATGGAGAGGAAACACTTTTCGGAGAACAAGTAGGTCTGCCTGTGCTTTGGAGTTTTTAATTTTAGATGGAGCGCTGATATTTGGCTTCTTCTAAAAAATGAGAACATTCTTAGTTGAAATTATATATTCCTCAGAGACAAATGCCAGCCAGACGCTGCAAAAGAAATTTTTTTTTTTCCTGATGGAATTTGGCCATATCTTTACACTGGAAACAGGAGCCCACACAAGTCCACAGCTGCAAGAGGCAGCTAATCCATAGTTACATAGAAATTTAGAAGTCTATCTTCCATTAGAGTTAACTGGAGCTGAGTGGCTAAGTGCACCTGTTCAGAAGCTGGAATGTGCCACTTGCAGGGCTGCACGGGGCGGGAGAGGGGAGCCCGAAGCCAGAGGCGGGGTGAGGGCTGCTGGAATGCCTCTTGGCTGGGTTTTAGTAAGTCTTTCAGTGAGGTGTGTGGCCAGGATTGAGAATGCTCTTCTCTACCTGACTCTCCCAGAGACAGGGAAGGTTACCTTGAATCTCTGAAGAACAGTGTTTCTCTTCTGCAAAGAGAAAATCTTGTGGTACTATCTTGGGGGGGGCAGGTGTGATTTCATTTTTCTTGGGGCTTTACAAGTAGCATTTGATGCACAAGAAAAGTGCATGCCTAACTAAGGATGAAGGAGGCTTCACTATCCTCATCTATTTGTGGACTCGTTTTTCTCTCTTGGGTGAACCCACCAAACTTCAGAATTAAAAAAAAAAAAATCATACGAGAAGGAAATGCCAAGCAGAGCAATGAGATTCACTGAGAGAGATCCAGAGATACATTTCCACAAAGACATTAAATAAATCGTGGCCTTCTGTACAGATGGCAAGAAATACCCCTCTTCTAAAAACAACAATAAAAACATATAACCGTATATATTGCTGGGGAAACTGTCTCAGGCCAAGCACCAGGAGCTCACTCAGATTCCAGTACGTTTCTGAATTCTCTGAAAGGCAAAGAGGGGTAGTCTGGTGCCCGAATATCTGAGGTCAAACCGTGCCTATTTCTGCGTGACTTTGAGCAAGTTACTACCTCTGCGTCTGTGACATGGGAGTCCGTGATGAGGAACAGGGTCTGACATGCTCCGTGTGAGTGTTTGTTGCCCCCCTCCACCCCCACCCCCCCCCAACGGCGAAGCCAGCACACGCAGCCCCTGCAGAGGCCCCAAAGGGAGAAAGAAGGATTGTGACTCTGGATAGTTAGGCAATGTGGGGATGACCGTCTGCAGAATTACGCACGTCTGGGCCTCTGCAGATGAGAGATGAGGATTATATTTTTTATTTCTTGGATTGCCTAAAATGGGGACGTACCTAGAGGAAATGCTGCTGATTTTTTTTTTCTTCCAAACAAACTAATTCCGGAATGATTGCAGTGTTACAGGGTGCTTTCCTCAAGTTTCACTTTCTATATTTGAAACACTTGGCCTATTCCTAGTCTGTATTTATTTTTTGTAATTTTTTTTTTTTTTGCAGTAAAATAAAGGATGAGCCTATGACTTGTGAAAGGGACAGATGACAGGAATGCATGCCCCCACACAGGGTCTCCTGAATAATTGCTTCGACCACAGCCCCAGATGCGGGTCATTACTGAGATCCACAGGGCGGTGGAGACCACATGTTGAAATTATTTATTTGAAAATTCAGGCCATGTCTTCTCAATTTACAATGTGAAAAGCAGTATTTTATTCGGGTGCATGCACTTGTGAGGCCTCTAGCTAAGCAGGGGCTGTCTGGGTGTGTGCCACTACATCCAACATCAGGAATAAATTAAGAATGTCAGAAAGGCTGAAGTGACCAATTCACAGAGGAGCTTTTGTGAAGGTAACCCATAAGGAGCCCAACAAATGGCATTTGGGCCCAACTCACATACGGGTTTCTGAAAAGCTGGTGATAGGGTGAGAATCCAATCACTCCACTAGGTTGAAGACAAATCATGTCATTAGTTTGTGTCTTCTGTAATACACTGTAGCTACAGATCTGTATAGGAAGCCATATAGAGCAGCCACGCTCGAGACACACAGGCGTGGCTGTGTTAGTTTTAATAAGAACCATGTGTTATAGCCAAAACAACATCTGACCCTCATGCTTCAAATAGTATGTGTGCTTCTCAAGGGGTCTATTCAGCCAGGCAGCTGCTGGGACATTTATTCCCACATTTTTAATTTGTCTTCGGCCTAGACAAATTGCTCATATTTTAATATTTCTCTGGATATTGTTTTTTGCTGTTTTGCCTCATTAGCTTAAATCTTTTGGTTTCTAACTCAAACCCCAAATTGTTTATAAGGTGAGGTCAACCAAAATTCATTTGCTCCCCCCACCCCCTTTGGGTGCTATTTTAGTACAGAAATTCAAGTTAAAGTTATTTTTAAAGATTAGGTTACTCAGGAGTGACTTAAAATCCATTGGATTTAATGATTTCTCTGTGTAGACCAGGATAAAGAGCACTTTCTTTTGACTCAAAGATGTTTTCTCTGCTTCTTCAAAATATACTGAGGCTTGACTTGTTACATACTGGAGAGGTGAAATGAAAAAAGTAGTTAATGATCTTAATTCTGAATTTCCGAAAAGGATCAACTCAGTGAGAGAGAGAGGTCTTTCAGCACGGTGGTGGCTATGAGGAGCTTGGGTTTTGGAGTTAGGCATGCCTGAGTTTGAAACCCAGCTCTGCCGCTAGCTGAAAGATCATGAACAAATGACAGCATGCTCAAGTTTTACTTCCCTTCTCTAGGAAACAGAGGATCCCTATCTCAGTGGGTTAAATGAGATCACGTGTGGTCAGTACATAACGTAGCTCCTAGAAAACAGTAAGAGCTCAATAAAGTTCAGCTTTGTTTCAGAACCGAACTCTCCAGTCTCATTCATACAGACAGAATAGCACATGTGAGTCCTGGAACAGGGAGGGAGCATAGTGACTCTTAAAATGGAATGAAATTCCTTGTGACTAGAGAAAAGTGCACGTGGGCAGGAAGGGTGAGGAGGAGGCAGGCTCAGCATCTTGTTGCTACACTCCCTGCCACCCCCCCAAACCCATTATGAAATGATCCTGCCCGAGGATGAGCACATCTTCAAGCATACTTGGAAACGAAATGCCATTGAAAAGGACGAAGCAGAAGACATCTGGCATGGACCCAGGGGTTCGTCTCTGCATCCTCTTAATCTACGAATCACCGTGAGTCTGATATGGAGTGGATATTTACAACTAAAGAAACTTTTTTTTTTAAAGATTTTTATTTATTTACTTGAGAGAGAGAATGAGAGAGAGAGAGCACATGAGAGGGGAGAGGGTCAGAGGGAGAAGCAGACTCCCTGCTGAGCAGGGAGCCCGATGCGGAACTCGATCCCAGGACTCCAGGATCATGACCTGAGCTGAAGGCAGTCGCTTAACCAGCTGAGCCACCCAGGTGCCCCAACTAAAGAAACTTCTAAAAGATGACCATAAAGAAGACATGTTTTATCTTTATGCAAACCCTCTAGTCAAAACTACAGCAAAATGAAATGGTGAAATGAACGGACCTTGGCCTGGGTTTCCAATGGACATATTTATGATGGTTATGATAAGAAGAGATATTTGGAGAACAAACATTGATGGTCAGGCATTTCAGAATTTCACTTGGGTTCGCGTTGTCTTTAATCTATGAATGCAAGCTTCTTTTGTTAATATAGCCATGATCTTAGCAAGGTGGAGACACCTACCTTTTTCCTTTGGAAGTTCACATCAAGTTTCATTGAGGCACACTTGTTCAATGTATTTAGTCGTCTAAAAAGAAAGAAAAAGGTGATGATTGCTACCACTAATAAACCTAAATTTTCTTTTCAGTTTGATAATTCTCATTTATTGCCAACGAAGTTGAAAGTGCAGAAACAAGAAGTTATATCCCAAGAAAGTACTGCACCTCCTCAAGATGCACTATAGAATCGCTCCCATTGGTTCTCCAGCCCTCAGACTTGAGAGGACTCTGCCGTGGAGCCTACCAATCCCTGCCCAGTCCCTAATCTAAACCCAGTCTTTTCCTGGCTTCCCTTTCCACCATTGTTGGAACCCATGAGCAGTCATTTTAGCCCTGCTCTCATCAGCCCCTCCATTCATTTGCCACCTCGAACAGGTTAGTCCCTAAATTCAGGTCAACTCAACCATCTGTCTTCTCCCCTGCTCTTGGTCTGTTGGGTATAAATGGAAAAATAACTCAGTGCTGAATTATATGTGCTATAGACTAAATTGTGTCCCCACCAAAACTTGTATGTTGCAACCCTGACCCCATGTGACTGTATGTGGACTAAGAAGTAATTGAGGTTAAATGAGGTCATAGGAAAGAGCCCTGATCCAACAGAATTGGTTCCTTTTAAGGGGAGACACCAGAGGGCTCGCTCTCTGTCTGCCAAGTGAGAACGCAGTGAGAAGGTGGCCGTCTGCTAGTCAGAAAGAGAGTGCTTACCAGGAACCAAGCCCTGCTGGCACCTTAATCTTGGACTTTCCAGCCTCCAGAACTGTGAGAAAATAAATGTCTGTTGTTTAAGACACCCAGTCCATGGTATTTTGTTAAGGCAGCCCGTGCTGACGAATAAATACATTTTGATTTTCAGCCTCAGCTGGGCTCCCAAAATTGCTACCCAGCATTCCTTTCATTTTTTTCTCTGGTTGGCTCCCAATCTCAGATTGTGAAAAATATCCCAGTTCCACAACAGAGGACTGAGCTGCTGCTGCCGATGAGAAAGTATGGCTGAGTATAAGCTATTGGACCTGAATTCTTGTAAAAATCCTTTCTTTCATCACACACACAAAAAGGATGTTTCTCTTCTTTTTCAAAGCTAACCCTTTATTTAACCTTGTTTTTGATTTCAACAGCCACCGCTTCATCTGGGACCATGAAACCTCATTCATTCCCTTATCTCAGCAGATTCTCTCAACTGCGTTCTTCTCTTTAAGCGTATCCCTGTCTTGAACAAATTGACCAACCAATTAATTAGCTACCTAAATAACCATTATCACACAAACTATTAATTTTCCCTTCAACCCTAAGTTTTTCATCGAGCAACCATGCTACCTACCCCAATATATCCTTCCCTATGCTACTCAGTCTGCTGAGAACAGTCTCAATTTTCATTCATTCAGTCTTCAATCCATTGCAATCCAATTTCATGGCATGCTCTTTGCAAATACCTTTACTGTTTTGTTTTATCTGATTACTTTTTAAACATCATACATATTCATGGGGCGCCTGGGTGGCTCCGTCGTTAAGCGTCTGCCTTGGGCTCAGGTCATGATCCCAGGCTGCTGGGATCGAGCCCCGCATCGGGCTCCCTGCTCCGCGGGAAGCCTGCCTCTCCCTCTCCCACTGCCCCTGCTTGTGTTCCTGCTCTCGCTGTGTCTCTCTCTGTCAAATAAATAAATACTTAAAAAAAAAATAAACATCATACATATTGAATGCACATGGTTTAAAGAGTCAAACGTTACCCCTCCTGTCCTTTACCGTTTACCTCTCTTTGGAGGCAACCCTTTCACCTGTTTCTTTTTTTGGTGTTTACCTCTGACAACATTGTTTATGCTGTTAGTTCTTGATTTTTCAGTTCAAATCATTATTTATTGACTTTGTTCTATGAATGATGAAGATATTTTTATTTTTTACTATTTATTCCTATCCCTCACCTTCCCCACATTCATACCCTTTATCTTATAGTTATGTCATAATCTCGTAATTTTTTGATAAATCAAGATTCACTGTTTATTACATTTATTATTGACCATGTAAACACTGTTCACATGTATATCACACTCTGATTGCTTTGTCTTCTATTCTCAACTTTTCATTATCCCAGGAGTTAATACGCATCCTGTTTGTTTCCTTAATTTTCAATGTCTTTATTCTTAAATTCAAACTCAAACACTTTCTCAGCTATCTAACTCCCTAAGTGCATTAATCTATTAATATCTATTAATCTAATTTCTTGGTGATGTCTCTCTCAGAGGCTTCTGACCTGTTCTAGCTGGGGTTTGCTGCCCTTGTTATTTTATTCTATTTTATTTTATTTTACTTTATTTTATTATCATGTGCTGATCAGATTTCTCAGCACTCAGATTCGCAGATTCTTTTGGAGTATGTTTTCTAATATTCTGGAGCTGAGTTATGAAAGAGGCCCGAAAAACTCAATATTTGGAACATAAGTAGACTGTCAATGAAGCCCCCATTTTTAATTGAATGTCCCACCTTCAACTATGCCTGGTGTCCCCCAGCCTAGGGACTTCTGTCTTAGCCTCTCCAGGAAAGAAACTTCTTATCTTGTGCTGATGGTGGGCAAGAAAAGTCTCCTTGGTATAAACTGGGGGGAGTAAATTAAGGGCTCTAGCTACTTCAAAATAGAATTTCAAACAACCCTCTTTTTAACCTACCTTAAACATCATTCACCATTTTGGAGCTTTTTAGGATTATTGTGGAACAGACTGAGTTTATAACTTACTTCACTGACCACTTAGCTTTTATTTCTTGGGCTTGCCAAGTTCTCTACTACATTATTTCTGTTTTTCTGCTTTGGGGAAAATTTTGTAGTTGTGGTGTCTTTCTCCTTTGCTTTTGTAAAGGCATGTCTCTCTAAATCAGTAGGAATTTAGAAAGCAAGAAAATTCACATGTTCAATTCCCATCTTTGACCGATGACTTTTTTTTGGGGGGGGGTATTCTGGCTATGCATCAGCTTTAAATTTTCAGCTCAATGAGTTTTGGCAATTTTAACTACCCTCAAACAAAGTAAAGAACATTTTTCCCCCATAAGAAAGTTCTCTTGTACTCCTTTACCATCAGTTCTCCTCACCACCACAGCCCCTCCCATCACCCCCAGGGACATCCTCTTTCTGATTTCTGCCGCCCGTAGAATGATCTGGCCAATTCTTGATTATCATAAAAATGGAATCACGTGGTATGCATTTTCGTGTGTCTGGCTTTTTCTCAGTCAACACAGTGTTTTTGAGATTGATCCATTTTGTTGAGTATAGCAGTAATCCTTAGAATTGCTGAGCAGTTTTCCATGGTATGAAGATACACAACTGGCTTTGCATACTCTTTTGCTGATGGACATTTAGGCTGTTTCCAGTTTTGACCAATGACTTTTTGTTCATCAAATTTCATATCTTCTTTTTAGCAAAGGCCTATTTGTAGCAGTAGACACTAATTGCCACTCTCCATTCCTTGAAACTCTTCTCTTTGGCATTCAAGATCATGAATTCTCTCATCACTCTAAACACTGTCTCCTTCCTCTTACCAAGCAGTACTTGCCCCTTAACTATTAATATTTTTTAGAATTTAGACTGTATGTAGTCTTTGCTTTTTACTCTGCATGAGGACACTGAACTATCTCATCCCAGCTTAAATAAATTAGACCATGATGAGGCCCAATCCTCTTTCTCTAGCCCAAACACCTCACTTGAGCCCCAGAGTTACATTTCTAAATACTTACTAGTCTCACCCATTTGTGGGGTCCTGCTGGCCCTTCAAACTCAACTTTCAGAACTGAGCTCATTATATTCTCTTTAAAACCTGTTTCTGCTACTGAATGTCTTATCTTGATTAAGAGCAAGTAGGCCACCCAAACTGGAAAATGGAGTCATCTTGACACTCCTCTTTAAGATCTGTATTCATTTGATCACCAAGTCCTGTCAATTATACTTCCTTGACATTTTTGAAGTCTTGCCTCTCCTTTGGCCCTCCTTTGGTGCTTTCTCATCTTTTACCTAAAGTCAGGCAATAGCCTCTTAACTGGTTTCACTACCACTTCAACTGCTTCACATTGAAACCAGTTCTATTTCTCAACTTTTTCTCATGTCACTCATTTATTTAAAAATATTTGATGACTCCCCTCATTTTCAGCCATCTCCAGTTTACCCACTGACTACACATTCATTAGTGTCAAATATAATAAGCAACCCTAGATTAGAAACTGATCATTTAGTCTGAAGCTATCTTTAGCATGAGCTTGGCCTTTGCTCTTATAACTGACAGCCTATCTTTTTGGCCAGTTCCACATGTGTTAACATCACTGCCTAAGAGCTAAGAGTGGTATGTGAGGTAAATTTTATATATACATTCTCACTTGGATATATAATGAGATATATAAGAGCTTAAATAAGTATGTGATATGTAAGAGCTTAAATAAGTCCATGTAGCTCATTTGGCAGCTCTGTAACTGGTTTGTTTAGGTAAGGATTACCCATTATTTATAAAATTTACTTTGCTAATAAACTTGTTCTTCCATTATACTTTGGAAGCACAAATAAACCTTTTTATTCTATGCAAAAGTTTTTGATCTACTACATATACAAAAGCCATCAAAGGGTTCATCCTTTATATACCACATACCTGAATATGCTTTTTACTTTCCGACACAAGTAGGAAGTTCATTTATCATTTTTTTAAAGCTAGAGACTCAAACTAAATTTGACTATGTAGCTTTAGGTCCTTTTATCTCCCCTAAACTCAGATATTTGCTGGCACCTTAAGAATTGCTCCTCTACTTAGAGAAAATATTTGCAAAACCTGCATCTCATAAAGGACTTGTATCCAGAATAAAGAACTCCATAATAAATTCCATAATAAGTCAAACAATCTGATTTTAAAAATGTGCAAAATATTTGAACATACAGTTCTAAAAGAAGATATTCAAATGGCTAATAAGCACATGAAAAGATGCTTAACATCAGTAATCATGGAAGAAATGCAAATTAAAATAATAAGACACCACTACATACACTGGAATGCCTAAATTAAAAACA